TTATAATATATAATTATTATTAATATATAATATCATGTTATGTATTAATAGTAATCTGTAATTGCATGCATTGTTGAATTGAGAGAATACTTACAGGTTTTTTATTTGGAGAATACAAATTTCTCCAAAAAATGATAGTCTATTTACTCTAAAATTTTTGTAACTTATTTTAATCATATGTAACTAATTCAGACTTTATGATCTGAAAATAGAACAGAAAAAAGAAAAAACTTTTATCAGAAAATTTACTATCAGAAAAAACTTTTAGATTCAAAACTGATTGCAAGTACTAGACATCTAGAATATTAATGTTTTTACATTCATGCACATTTTTAATACTTTATAGATTTATCATGTGATGAAGATAAATCATGTAACAAGAAATTTTAAATAAATGATTGTTAAATAATTTGATCTTATAATCTGTCAACATTTATTTTGTTGTACTTTTATATATTCATCTTAAAGCTCAGATGGCACTCTGGAGTTTTATGATGTTTCAGTTTCATTTTATTTGTTTTATGTTATGTAGCCTTTATCTGAAGATTAAAAGGAATAGTTTAATAATTTCTGATTTTTTATTTTTAACAAAGATATTAAAAAAAATTTTAATAATTTTAGTACAGTAGAGCATTGATTGTCCAAATATTGATCAATTGAAATGTCAATTAACTGAAAGCTTTCCAGTCGGCAAATTTAAATTTCCGCTAGTGTTGTGGCACTGCAATCTTTGGCTATGTCTTGGGCTACTCCATTATTATTTTTGTTAGTGTGCATGTTTTAGCTGGCAGCACTAGCATGACCATGAGAGGGTACTTAAAGATGTGCCAGGATTTGAATGAATTTCAACATGGGATAGGTTATTTTATATTTATAACAAGATTATAATATATTTTTTTGTACATAATCAGTTATCTGAAAAATCGATTTTCTGAACAACCTCAGTCCCCAATTGATTCAGATTATCGATGCTCTACTGTATTTGCATTTCATGCACAAGTTTTCAAATTGCAATTCTAATAAACTTCTACTTTATATTTAGAGTATAAAAAAAACATTGAAAGTGAATAGATCTGGAATTTAAATATTTAAAAACAAATTATTAAAAATATTGGGAATATAAACAGGGATCTATCTACATGTGAGAATCTAGAGTTATGGGATTTATTTTAACAAATTTGTTAAAATAAATCCTTTAACTCTAATCTTAATTTTAAAATTATTTTGATAGAAAAATTATCTAAGTTAAAAAGGGAATTTCCTTTGTCATGGAGGGAAAACAGTTTAGTTCCTTTGAAAGTGATAGTTCAGTGCAATGTTTCACTCTTCTATCCACGGAACAGCCTGACTTCCATTACACATCAGAAGCATGGTGTGATTTTCCAATAATTCAAGTGGATGAAATTCACCATAAAGGTGAAAGGTCATCTTCCAACATGCTCTTGTTTTGGCATTCTTGCTTGGTGCTCACTGCTCTTATTCCTCTCCCAGTTTATCATTTTGACTTTCCTAAAAACTCTCAACTCTCCACCTCTGTTATGTATGGACTATAGGTAATATAAATTTGTTATGTTAACTCTCTGTTGTCAAAATAGACTTAGCAAGTGAGAATAAGATATCTTCACATACTTGATTGTTGAACCTAATCATTTGTTTTATTATAGTTTACATTAAATGATGATAGTTATAGTTATGTATAATAAATATATAGTTATATTCTAAACTGTTGTTTGGATTGATTTATGCCTAACTTTATCACGTATTTCATGAAATTAACATTGATGACATTAAGGTAAACTTTCCTAAAATTTTGGTTGTCAATAAAATATTTTTATTACACTCAGAGGACAAGTTAATTGCAAGTTGGGATGTGAAAGAAATTATTTCAACTGATTTCAGGATAGACAAAAAAAGATTATACTGATCTCCCTTTAATTTAACATTTCCATCCTGTATGTGGAACAGGATTGTCCCAGAGTCCCTGCATCTCATATATACTTGTGTGGCGGTACGCCATGCCTATGTACATAGGGGTTAGATATAAGTTTTATTTTAATCTAGATCCTTTGTCTTTCAGGTCTGTTTCTATAACTTTCTAACTTATTCTTTCTCTACGGGTGGGGATAACCTTTGTTCAAGGACGAAGGGAGAAAACAAAGGAATACTAAGAAGCCCTGAGGGCGTCAGAGAAAAAGGAAAAGACATTTTCTGGTGAGCGTCCGAGGAGAACAGATGAAGAAAAGAACAAGTTGAAGTTGTTGCCGAGTGGGACAAAGAAGAGACTTGAGGTCGTCTGAGAATGGACAAATTAGACGGACACCAAAATTGAGGGCTTCAAGAACACCTTGAATTCTCAAAGCTGGTACAGAAAGGAATCGAGAGGAAGGCTAATTGAGCGCAAGTTCCAAGCCCTGAGGGCGTCAGAGAAAAAGGAAAAGACACATTTTCTGGTGAGCATCCGAGGAGAACAGATGAAGAAAAGAAGAAGTTGAAGTTGTCGCCGAGTGGGACAAAGAAGAGACTTGAGGTCATCTGAGAACGAACAAATTAGACGGACACCAAAATTGAGGGCTTTGAGAACACCTTGAATTCTCAAGAGCTGGTACAGAAAGGAATCGAGAGGAAGGCTAATTGAGCGCAAGTTCCAACGTAGATAAGATTGGAGACTTTCGAAATTCCGGGTACCCCACCAATCTTTCCTTTATACTTGTCTTATCCCTTCGTATCTCTTCTTTTTTCACTCTTCTTCTTTAGTATGTAAGTTAGGTTAAGGTTGTTTAAGTTGGTCATAATATTGCGGAGATATCTCTCAAAGTAAACCTTTTGTCGTCACGAACATGTGTCTACTGCCTTTGTAAATATAAAGAATATATCGGGCTGTATTGAAAACATACGGTTAACATAGTTTGGGATCCAAAAGAACCGGGTGTAAGTAGGACCATGTGAAGGAACAAAATAAAACTCTGTTTTTTTTTATTGCTACAACTTTGTAATTTATTATTTGTCCTCTACACCACCACACTTGTACCAAAAACAAAAAAAAAAGGTCAAGTTTTTCTGTGAAAAGTAATTTCACTAGTGAAAAGTTTTTAGAAATGAGCTATACTTTGTTCATATTCATAATCATTTCAAAATACAAGATATAATTGAAAATACATTTGAAGAGGCTGAATGGTATCAGATTATTGACTTTTATAGTGTGAGAAATTTGTTACAAATTTTATATCCTTACCACTAATTTTAAAAGCTAAACAACTAAGAAGAAAATTGATGACAGAGTGCAAGAAGTAGAAAAATGTTGAATAAGTAAGAACAAAGGTAAAACAGTCGAAATGACAGTCACTGGTCGCAATTAGCACTGCGATTCCTGCATTGCTGCCAAATCATGACACGACCAAACACGAGCCAAGCAGTATGTTGGTCATCACAAACTAAGTTTGCAGTACACATGCATCATACACAAGATTTGGCACACAAGCAGGAGCAGGACCGTCTTAATAATTTTGTTGCCAATCTTCTATGCTCAACAGAGAAATTCAACGTGGACCAAATATCAATTTTCAAAAATTATCTTAAAACTTTTAAAATATATCAAAAAAAGGTGGTGGAACGCTGTTCCATTGCGTTCTGACAAAAAAAAGCACTGTATATATAAACAAGAATTCCATGACCAAGGTCATGTTCTTTCAAAAATTGTTTTTTTGTATCTGAGAAGTTGATATTCCTATTACTACTTCTATTACTGGCTTCCTAGATTCCTCCTATATCACAAGTCTCTTGTAGGACTTTGATCTTTGTGCATTCCCATTACAAGTTTCAGTGCACACCAGGTAAAGAAACCTTCTTACATATGTTTCCACTTTCAAGTCTGAATCTCTCTTATTCACCCATGTACTGTACATCCACATTTTCTCATTTCTATTCTTTCCATGTTCCAGAAGTACTTAACAGAAGAAATAAAAATGTGGATTCTTTTATCGACCCATTCTATATTAATCCAACAGTAACGGATTTACATAGTGGACCATATGGCAAATAAAACAAATATAATATATGAATATGTTACATATAACATATACAATATATGTTATAGCGGGTCATGCTGCATAGCATCAAAATCACCACTTAGCAATATTTTTATTAAAGTGGTGATAAAAATGTAATACTAGCGATTACAATTAGCAATAAACACCTTAGTCCACTTGTTTCGACATTTAGCGTGAAATTGAATCACAAATCACACTTCAGTAAAAACAGCAAAATGTCAAGTTTCCATACAATGGGAACCCCATGCACCACATACCTAGCAATTTCATGACATCATGTGGCAAGTTCAGGCAGAAAAGTAAGAAGTGACATAAAAAACTGAAAGTAGTTTTTTTCAATGTTGTCCAGAGTTTCCAGATTGGAAACTTTTTTATTGACCGACAGAAAATTTGGGGGTTTTTGGATGACATTTTTTCACTTTTATCTTTTTTCAGTATACTAAAACAAAAATTTTGACATGACAAAAATGTCATGTCAAAATTTTTGTTTTAGTATACTGAAAAGTGTGAAATAGTATTTAAACATTGTAATCAAATGTGTGATTTGGAATTATTCATTAATAAATTATTCAAAAATGATTCCTGTTGCTAACAAGAGGAGGGTCAGACGTTTGGGTCTCTGATTCAAATGAAACTTGGTGAGCACATAGCCTTAAACACAAGCAGCTCCTTGTCCAAATAATAGGACCCACTTCTCAAACATTTCCAAAAATTGGGTCTCTGAAAATTTCCAGACTGATAAGGCTACCAGCACCTGCATTAATTAGTAAGTAAAACTGTTGATAACAAGTAATTTCAAGTGGCAAAAAAATTAAACTGGTGAAATGGTGGCAAGTTTTTAAATTTTCCTATATAAATTAGATTAAAAATTCATATATATATATATATATATGTATGTATGTATGTATGTATTTTTATGTGTATTGTAATATGTATAGCATATTATAAGCAAAATAGTATGTATGTATGTATATGTATATTGTGAGAATCTAATTGGGGGTACCTTTCTACTAAGATGTTGGTACCACTTAATCGGCTTCTAGTTGGTAAAACTAGTTCTCGAGTTGTCCAAAAGAATGGCTTTTCCTAGTTCGATAGGAAATTCGAGTGTAGAGGGACTTACAGATTAACTAAATTTTAGAGTGGAATTTGGTGATGGCAAATTCACCTTCATCCCTGTCAGGACTGACACCAGTTAATCACATTTATATCACGTGGATTAACCTGCATGTGGAGGTATGCAAACAAAGATAAGACATTTCTTTAACAATAATAAACGATTAACTATTTAATAAAGAAAAGTAAATAAAATTACAAATTAGACTTAATTAAAATTAAACGAATGATCAAAATATATGCTTCGAGAGAGAGAGTTCACAAATTCATTATATTCATACAACCTTTTAGTTGACTTTTTCTTCTGTATTTGTCGAATATACCTTCAGTTCTAAGGTTCTCATACTTTTATTCATGGAGAGGTCTTGATAGTCACAATATTAAATATATCTTCTATGTTTCTAATTTAATTCATTTAACATGGGATAATTATGTCTATGGACGTTAGCCTTCAGGATACTATACTGTACTAACTAAAAGCATTGACTTTAGGATACTGCATGGAAATACCTCTGACTACTCTGAGATCCTTCGACGTTTTCCTAACTAAGGGCGTTGGCCTTAGGGAGCAAATGTGTGGACTTCTTTCCACTTTCAGATCTATGGACGTACTCCCCGAATTCTGCTAAACTTTGACTATATCTCTTGATTTTCGACCAATCAGCATATTCGGATTCTTTCATGTGAAACGGATGATAGGGGAAATCCATGAGGGGTCGACAATTCCCAGTGTAGTGAGATTTGTAACAGATAAGTGAAAAACAAAGGATGCTTCTACTTCCGTCAAAGGAAGTGGCTCTTTTACCAGTTTTCCCACATTAGAAAACCGTTAATTTCTCATCGAAATGAAAAAATATTTTTCTTCAAAAATTTAACTTCATTTTTAAATTGTTAGTTAGACCCAGGGACGATTCAGATCTCACAATATATATACATATACACACATACTATACACACATACATATATATATATATATATATGTATGTATGTATGTATGTGTGTGTATATACATACTGTATTATAAAATTGCATATATACTGTATAGCATATTACTGTATAGCATATTATAAGCAAAATAGTATGTGTGTATATATATATATATATACACACATACTATTTTACAAAATAGTATGTGTATATATATACATACTATTTTGCTTAAAATATGCTATACAGTAATTTTTGTGTTTGAATTCTGCAATCTCACTGGCCAGATCAATATGTTAAAAGAAATAGTTTTATTTTACAAACTTTTTATGTAATGAATTATTAAATTTATTGTGATATGTTTCTATAAATTTGTTTTTAACTCTATTTGAAGTTATTTATTTAATTTCATTGATTTTAAATTTAATGCAACACTTATTAATTTTATATTGTCTTTATTATACATCAACTTGCATGTTTATCAATACATATATAATATTTTTATATTCATTACATTTAATAGTTTTTTTAAGAATAATTATATATCTTATTTTTATTAGAATTGTTGAACCAAAAAGAAAGAAAGTAAAAATAGCAGAAGATGCTTTAAAGGTAAAAAAACAAACATTAAAAGAAGCCAAAGAAAATCTAGAACAAGTAAGTAATAAATACTGTTGTAATTAGTAACAGATCTAAAAGTATCCAAAGGAGGGACTCAAAAATTAAAAATATTTAAATAATTAATAGGTACTTTTTATTAACAATGGTATTAATTACTGGGAATTACATCTGATGAACAAAGTGAAGAGGTAATAATTCAAAACTGAGTTAATGAATTTTGACTATGGTAATCACAGAAATCACTTGTTCATTTTTCTGGTAGAAAAGCACTTTATTTTTGGTTAAATGAGACTGTTTTTCTTTGATTTGATCACCTAGCTGTTGCAAAAATTGGCATAATATTTGCCATTTATCATTTTTCCTTTCTCCAAATAGTCAATGTAGATAATTCTATGGGAATCTTAATACACAGTTGCTATGATCCTTCCATCTAACAAAACTGTTTTCACTTTCTTTGTAGTGAAGAATTTTTGTCTGTAAATCAGCACATAAAATCCTTTGGATTACATCAAAACTTTTCTGAAAGGTTTCAAGAAACATCATATGATTCACTTGTTGCTCCAGTGTGAACAAACATGACATCCATTTTATAGCAAGATTTTTCATTTTAATTCTTCTGTCAAAATTCTATGCACACTGTGCTTTGAGATGTCTGCTATCTGATGCATTTTTGCTTGGCAGTCATCCATTACTATGCCATGGACTTTTTTTGTATCATATTCAGGGTAGTAGCCATTTTTGGACTTTGTGACATTTTTCCACTTTGTGGTTCATCGGTTGTGCTCATGTGGCCATGCTTAAATTCTGCAGTCCAGTTCTTAACCATTGAAAACATAAGTGTAAACTTTGAAAGTGTCGAATCCAACTCTGCTTTAAGTTCAGTTGTAAGGTTTTCAAATGAAAATAGTTTATCACTGCTTGCAATTTGGTTAACTCTGTTATTTACATAATGACCCTAGTTGTCTACTTTGATGAACTGTTAAACAATGACTAATTAACCCTTTGTCCTCAAAAGTACCGATCAATCGGTACTCCCATTGTTAAGCAAAACTTTGAGGGTACCAATTCATCGTTACCCTAGTAAAAATTTTTGATTTTTGTAAAATTTATCAACAACAGATGTCAGCACTTGATGGTAGCGTCTTGTCCTATCATCTGTTTCACATATTTTTCTTTAGGTGGTGTTTTGTTGACTTAAAAAATTTTAATTAATGCTTTTTTTTCTTAACAGAATAGCCTTATACTGTTATATCTGACATTAGAACAAATGATAGTAATAAATAGAAATAAAAATTTTATTTTCATGTCATATGTTTGTTAAGCTATGGACTTTTCAAACAGACTTATTGGAACAATAACTTTATTGAATTTATGTAGAAATTTTTAAACATCAATGACTATGATTTGTATAATATAAACTTTATAATACAAATGACAAAGATTAAGAGAATAAGTTTATAATTGAGAACAATTAAATTGATCAGTAATCTTGGTTACATCAAATTTGATTATACCTACTTTTATATATTGAAAATAAAATCAATTTTGAACTTAAATGGAAGTAATTTAATTACAGAAAGAAATCTAAATTGCAATTTTAATTGTTCTTGTATAATTTTAAGCTGTATTCAACAAACTTTTTAACTGTTGTAAAGTGCTTAAAGATTGTTGAATACAGCTTAAAATTATTATCTAAAATTGAAAAATACCACATTTTGATGTAAGATGCCATTAGAACATAAGATACATTCTGATTGTAGTTAAATTAAAAAGTGAAAAAAGAAATGTTTATTTAAAATCAAGAAAGTACAGTAATTTCAATTGTAAACAGTTATATAAACTGTTTATAATTGAAATTTAAATTAGACAACACTTTCTGTTTTTAATTAAAAGTATTTATATTTGTAAAGTAATTTAATGTATGTATGAAGCAGATTTATAATGTTATTTTTTCAATTAGTTGAAACTAAAGGTTGAAGAATTAACAAGACAATTTGAATTAAAAGTTAAACAGAAAGAAAGTCTTGAAAATCACACTGAAGACTTGGAAAAAAAATTATCATCTGCTACTTTATTGGTTGAAGGACTTAGCATAGAAAGGATTTGCTGGAATGATAACATTGAAGTATTTAATTTTAAATAACTTTTTAATGAATTTTTAAAAATTTTAAAGATTATTTAATTGGAAAAACTACTAGGGAGTATTTTCAATTTAAAAATATTATCTGTTTAGAATAACCCATAATTGCAAGGAGGAAAAACTCTCCTTCTGGAAGATTTGATGATTTTTAATCTTTAAATCATTGAAATTCAATGTTCTTTATGCAGGGCTATTAAGAATTTGTAATGGGCCTGGAGTAGAATGGGTCCCTTCACCATTTTTTAACAAATGAAATATGTAGAATGTTTATTAATAACAAACATGCGTGAAGCTAAACACTAGTTGCACAAATTGCAGATTTTATTACTTTTATTTTATTTAAACCAAAACTTTTTATGTTGATAATCACTTAAGCACTTAAAAATGAATTGTCTTTAATTTCAATGTGATATGAATTCTTGTTTGCATGTTCTCTCATTTGTAATTCCTGCATAAATCATACCCATATCTTATGTCAACATTTCACTAATTTTTATATATTATAATGATTAGAATATTAAAACCAATTAATTATCAACAGTCCTTCTTTGTTTATATCATAAGAGAAAAACATAAAACTAATATGAATTTTTGAAAATTAAATATGAAATGCATAAAGTAAAGCATGCATTGCCTTAATTATTTTAGGTACTTGCATTAAAAAAAAAAATGAATTTCAAGGTATGAAAATGTTTACAGTGTTCAACACTAATTTCAATCTTTATCTTAGGGCAATTAGTAGAGAATTGTGATATGAGATTTCATATTAATTATCATTTAATACGTAAACAATATTATTGACTTCAGCAGAAGATTATATCTTTGAAGTAACAAAAATAACGAAAAATTTACTTGAAAATAATTTATGTAATCATCATTGTTTTTGAATGCTGTTTAAATATTCAAAGCAATGAATTTTGATAATTACTTTTATGTGAAAATAATTTTTTTTTTCTCTCAGTTATTATGACATACACTATTAAAATGACTAATAAAACATAAAATTGATTGTCTTGTGATGTTATTAAAAATAAAAGACATGATATTTCATAAAATACAGGCATTTTGAGTAAAACAATTTATCTTTGTATTCAAAAACTCACACATTATAAACTCTAGTAATAAGTGTAATAATGTAAAAATGTTTAGTGACTCCCATAGAGTGAGATCCACAGAGTATATGAAGTTATTAACATAAATTAACATGAAAGGACGTAGGCATTGACTGAAAACAAATATGTGTATGCTAACCAAGCGAACATAAAAAATTTATTAACACAACACAAGGTGTAACGACAATCAGTATGCAGGGTACAGCAACATGACTGTATAGGCCATAGCCATCTAATCGTGCAAACATAAAATTATTTACATCTTACAAACTAATGGATTATCACATATGTACAGTACATTTCCCTTTTTTTGTTATACAATGCTTTTACATGGTAGCCCTGCACAATCCCACAATAATATATTGATTGAGAAAAAATGACAGGAACATATACGTATGAAAAATATAGTGTTACAACTAATCATCATATTTGGATCCTCGAATGTCTGGAGACACAAATATAGATATCCTTCACTGATGGCTCACTGTTCCAGCATGACAGAAAAGAATCATTCAATTTCAGTCCAAGACGTCCCTTTGTTGATGGTGGTTGTCTTCTGGAGTTTTTCTTTGTTCTTTCAATGTAGCTCATCCAATGAAACCACAGACTCTCAGTTTCAGCTGGAGTATTCCTGCTCCCTCTTGCTTTCTATCTTTCCAGACAAGTTTAAAAAAAAAAAATAAAATAGCCTTGGACTTGAAAGTTCATTCCTTTTATACTTTCCACTCTCCAGAAATAGATTCCTTGCATGTGACCCTACCTCAGAACAATTATAAGGCCCCAAATGTGGCATCCAAGAAAAGGTGATACCAGGGCAAGGGTGAAGGCTTATGCGACACACTGTACAACAATATAAGAGAACATGAGACAGAGTAATGGAACAATATATGTATAAATATATACAAAAAAAATTACACAATTCTTAGTTGCATAGCACTACAAATGTTTTTGACCATATTAACAGGTCTTTTTCAGTTACCATAGTATTGAATGTATAGTTTGATAACTGAAAATGTTTTTGTGTTATTAAACTTATTACTGGAGTTTGTAAGATGTAAATTTTTATATATGAGCATCATTTCCTCTTGTGTTTTACTAAACTTTTGATACAATTTATCTTTACCAGGCAATTGAAACAGCAGCATGCATATTACAAATTTAAAACAATTGAATGTTTCTAAAGTTAGTTGGACAAAGTTCTAAAAAGATCAAACTGATCAAAACAAAAAAAAAATTTTAATGACCAGAGGGAAGGACCCATGACTTCAACATTTTAACTAGTGAAACCCAAGGATGCAGTAGGTTTAGGGTGTGTTGATTGCACAGACCAGAAATAATTATATGCTTAGTTTCCCAACTGCATACTAAAACAGTATTAGAACAATGATGCAACAACCAGACAAAATTATTATATAACACTGCTTTAGCCAGTTAGGTAGTGTGCCTTGCTTGTAAGCTGTTCTTTTTATGCTCTGATATTTGTGTGATAAACATTTTAGTTGTACCATCAATACATGAGGTTGAATTCATAGCCAAATTGTGGAGAAGTTTGAAATCACTGACTTTTCCAGGACTGATGTTGGGACCCTATTGTTAGAAATTAATTTGCATGGAGATGGTTGTAGCTGAATAGGTAAAACATATTTAAATACCCTAAACATATGAGTTAATTTTAAAAAACACTAGTTATAAAAGGAAATAAATTCCTAATTAATTTTAGCAGTGATTTGATTTGCATTGTGGAAACTAGAAAGAGGAAATGCAAGACTTTAATGTTAAGTAATTTGAATTTATTGGTAGTTTATCCCAGTTTTCAATAAAGCTAGGAGAATGTGTTTTAATTCAGTAGAGATTAAATCAGGCAAGGTTGGTAATAAATAAATAACTGATAAAAATTTTTTGTTAATTTTAATGCTAATGTTAATTATTTATATTAAAATTAAATTAAATATATGACTTAAATAATTAAAATTGTATATTATTACTATTTTAAATTTTAACATTTATTTTTTGATGCTTGCTTAAATTTTCCAACTGCTTTTCTGTTTTACTTATTTGAAATTCATTTATTATCAAATGTAATGTTATTTTATAAATTTTCATAGGAATTGAGGAAAAAAATGAACTGTTTAATTGGTGATTCATTGCTAACATCTGCATTTCTATCTTATCTTGGACCTTTCATTCATAAATATAGAGATGATTTGATTTCAAAATGGATTGATATTGTGAGCATTATGTATTATNTAAAATTTTATAAGGAAGTTTGACTTTTCAAATTTCATGCATATAGTGTTCCTACTCAAATGTTTGTTTTAAATTCCATGACGTCCCGACCAACTTTGTAAATTCCGACCCTCATAGTACAGCACATTGATAAAATAAAACAGTATATGACTTTTTATAATTGTTGAATAAGTTTTATTTAATTAAAAATAGTTTATTCTGTTATTAATCCACAGTCATAAATCTATGTGGCTTTGAAAAAAATAAAAAGCCATTATTTTTTATTCATTAACAAATCCTGTATAATCCATGTACAAAAGTAAATATTTATTAAATTTCCTGAACTTTATAAAATCCATCATAGAAATAAAATTGAATTCAGTGCTATTAATCAACATATTGCATCAAGTTTATAATTGTATTGATATATGCTGTCCTATGATGATGAAAACATGTACTTAAAGCATTCTTTTAAGTTAACTTTCATCTAAAATATTTGTTATCAGTTTAGTGTTGTTTGGAAAATTGTATGATAGGTTTAATTACTTATAATTACTTTCCATGACTTTTTCCAAACACTAATGAAAATCCTCACTTTCCAGGTGCATCAGAACCCTGTATATAACAAATGTAATGTGTTAAAATAAAATGTACTTATATTCAATACAAAAAAAATACAAGATTATATAACTAATTTAAATTTTATTTTATATGTATAGTTCATACAAAATGATGTACTTAAAATATATATTATTTCTCCATCAAGAAATCTGCTATTCTGTTTCGTTTTTCAATGGCAGCTGCACGATTTTGTGTGTTTTCTGGAAAATTATCGCCATCATCATCATCATCATCACAGTTATCAAGTAATATGTCTTCTGGAATATCCTTTTCCCCTTTCTTAATGCATAAATTATGCAAAATGCATGCAGTCATAACCACTTTAGACATGGCTGCAATATTTTCCATGTCTAAATATTTAAGTCTGCGGAAACGTCCTTTCAAAAGTCCTATAGTTTGTTCCACAACTACTCTGACAGAACTGTGTCTTTTATTATAAGTTTTTTGTTTTATAGTGAGACTACCAAAATCCTTAAATGGTACTAATAAAAAAGTATCTAAAGGATATGCAGAATCACCTAATAAATAATAATCGTTTCCTAAATATTTTGATGGTTCCTGCAGTAATAATTTGTATATTGGACTTTGTTTCCACACCCGAGAGTCATTGGAACTTCCAGGCCATCCAACAAAAGCATCAATTATCTGCATTTCTGCATCACAAATTATTTGTAACAAAATGGAATGTCTTCCTTTTCTGTTAAAATAACTTTGGCTATCTTTTTTAGGTGCCTTTATAAATATATGTGTTCCGTCAACACATCCAATTACACCTGGCAATGGAATCTTCCGTAATTGCTCAAACTTGTGTACGGTGTCGTCCAAATTGTTTGATGGCCACTTAATAAAATTACTTGACATGGAACACATTTTATTACAGAAATTCATAAAATTCCTGTAAGCATGACCTTTACTTAAACCAAATCTATCAGAAATGCCTCTGAAAGACTCTTGATTAGCAAGTGTCCATATGCTTAACAACACTTCTTTGTTTGTTGAAATACCAGGTCGACCCATCTTTTTTTCACTCCTTGTTGTATTTATCAACTTTATAACTTCCTATAAAAATAAACATATAAACGATAAGTTTTATTTAATGAACAAGAAAAAATAACAGGCAGAAACATGTAATTAATATTATAGTGATTACAATAGACAAACTTAATTTACGAATGTTAAGTAAACAAAGTACAGTATCATTGTACTATGCTGATAAGAAAAAATGTATTATTAACTAATTTCCGAAACTTAAATGTAATTATAATTCGATTAACTTAACGAATATCAAAATTTGATTCATTTAAAAAACTTAATTTTCAGAAAAACTTACAGAATAACACATGTAAAACTAAATAGGCTATTTTATAAATTATAGCATTTTGTTTCCTATTAGAAAAAGTATTTAATGTAAAACTTACTTCTGTAGAACTTCTTGAAAGTCTAAAATGACTCTGAAAGTCATCCAAAGAATAAGAAAATACTATGTCTTCTACATAATTATTTATCTTCTGTCTCTTTGTTCTCTCTTTGTTTGAAAGAGCAAGGCTCAATTCTTCATACTTTCTTTTTTTGTTATGTCGTAATTCTTTAGCTAAAATACTACTTTCGGCTGTAATCGAAATCAGTGAATATATTAAGGCGTCCATGTTTCGCTCGAGCGGAAAGCGTTTCTAAACTATGATGCAGCGACGTGTAGCGATCGCTGCTCGTGACGTCATTTACGCTGCACTCTCACTGCATAAAGAAACGCAGCCTTACTCATATGTGAGGTCAGCCGATTAGGGGTGAGGTGTTTTCGACAGCTGAGCGGTCATTACTGTCTTGTGGGTGCAGAATGATTCACTGAGACAGGTTTACCATATAACCGTTTAATAATATACAGAAATCGTTCTTACAATAATCCAATAAGTCGGGCAAAAGCCTATCCAACGATGGGTTACTGTAACCGTTCCTAAAAAATGGAAAAGTTCAAATGTTCAATCAGTCCTTGGGGGGCTTTTGGCACGGTGGACACAGAGAACGATGGCCCCAGGGCACGCACCAGCACTTGTAGTGATGTCCTCAGTTGATAAGTCGAACCTCAGCGATTCTGGACACGGCAGGTTGGCGAAACCAGCTTCCAGAAATTTAAAGAGCCTACATTGTATCTTTGACATGAGCACCGAGTTCCAGCAGGTGAGCACTACACACCAAAACCCAAGACCCTGTAAAGTTTCCGAAAACGCGGTTTTATCGATTTTTCCATTGCAGTTGCCTCTCCATTGGTCTCTCCTCGTCACATGGTGACAATTCGAAACCTCACTGAAGGGCGTGGGAGAGGTCAACATCACGTCAGAACACAACTCCTCTCCAACCTCATTTTCCTCGAGTTTACTCTATCTATTGTTTAAAATCTTTTAACAAGACAAAAGGTTCATTGTTTAAATCCGATCTTTAAGTTCGCTCTTTCACGCTACAAACTTTGACTCTTTCAAACAGTCGTTAATTGCCTCCTTTCGGACCCCGTTTGGGTCCTCACACATATATGATATCAAAACTAATTTGTAATACATTTTGATAATTCTTAACAGCTTCTGGAACACTATATGTAGATTTTTGGAATGCATAAATCAGCTTAGGTTGAAATTTTGATGAATGTAACTGATTATATGCAAAACTGAGCACTTTGATAGAATGCAATAATTAATTTTGAAATCTTTTGTTGGATTTTGCGTACACCTTATATAATCTTGAAATCTTTTAACTGTAATGAGCAATTATTGTGACATTGTCACAATACCAGGCTGCAATTTTTAATCATATTTTTAATTTATTTCATTTAAAATATGTGTGCTTCACCTCAGATTAGTAGTAGCTTGCCCCTCTACATTATACTTTTCCTTTAACAATAGAGTTATGCCAGTCATCAATCTAAGACTTTTTAGGGAAGAATTTTTGAATCGAAATAACATTGTTACGATATAGAATGAGTACGGAGCCCCGAAAGGACAATAAAAACAAAAATATGGGAAAATACAGAATTTATTCGTGGACAAAAGAAAATTACATAAGCTCCCACTAAAGTTTGTGGGGTAATAGTGAAATTAAGTAAATCGAATCCCTACTCGATCTCACACGTGTATAACGGAAACAAAAGCTTTGCACACGTGGCGATACACATCGAAGGCAGGTTCGCGACAATAGAACACAACTACTAACTTAATTACTAAGGTTATAACTATCTTACAAGCTAGGATTAAATTACGGAAGGATGATAGTATAGCATAGGTAAGGAAACGTATAGAAAGTTTAGAGAAAAGGGTACCCGAAATAATTGGATGTGATATCTCCCTGTTGGAGAGGGAAACTGTAATTCAGTTCAACGATTCAAACAATTCTTGGTAGGAATCTTCTCTATTCTTCCCTCGATGGATCACTTCGTCGCTGTCCTTCTCTTCTCTCTTAATAAATCTTGTCCGAGATGTCCGTCTGCTCGCTTCCTCGTATACTTCCTGAATGAGTCCCCCCCGTTCACCTCCGGGCCTACACTCCCTTCCTGGCCTCGTTCTCGTAACGGTGTTGCCCCCTCCAACGAACAGGAAGTGAAGGATGGAAAAATCCAGAAGAGAGAAGACAAAGAACACAAAGAAAATCTTAAACACTAGAGTTACGGCTAGCGTGTATACAATAATATGGCGTTTCGCCACAACATGACTTCCTGTTTGCATCAGAAGTTCATACATAGTTAATCTTAGGGACAAGCAGCCCCAATTTCCATATCTGAACTTGTCTTTCATCTGTTTAACACTGTTCTTGAGTTTAAGGAAAGACAGATGGACAACAGTGGGAATTTATAGGTCTACAATTTTTTCAAATTGCAGCCAAATTATTAACTGAAAAAATGGACTTCTAAGGACTACATATTTGGTGGTTTATGGATGGGGATTGTGATTAATTGCATAATTCATTGTTTGAACAAGTTTTCTATTACATCAGTAAGAGTTCTTCCAGTTAGTTCATGTAGGAAACAAGACTGATCAGTTTTCTATATATGCTGAAGATCAGTTTGATTTTTGGGATTTGAAAAGATTGACTATGTTAATGAAATATTTTGCTGTTTTGCAAAAATAAATAATTCAGTAGTGAAATAGATGTAACACTTTAATGCAAAAATAAAATTAAAATTAAAAAAAACTCAAAATTTTAACACAGGACAACCATAGGATACATAGAACTCAAAGACTAAATTGTTACTATTAATCCATTCTTATGAGAATCTTTGTGTTAGAGCATATAAATCCATTACAACTTAAAATTGATTATATTTTTCTCAAAACTGTTTGATTGAGTATTTCTGATTATTATATGATAACCTAGGTTAATGTAAATTTGATAATTTTAATTATATTTTTTTTTTGTCAAAAAAAGGGGTAAAGTATTCCAT